CGTTCATCGTACATCTTGTTGAATAAAATATTATTTCAAATTAAAAATAAATGAAAAAGTTATTAAACCGACGCAATCCCACAGCCTAAAAACACACACACCATATGTGGAGATTACGTCGTGCACGATATACTAACACAATGCCAGCCGCTTATTAATTATTATTCTTATGAACTAGGTCATCATGCCCATTGCCTCTACTCATCCAAGTAGCACCTGGGCACGTGAATGGGCTTTGGCAATAAACACGGAAAGGGTTAAATCTGAAAATCCTGATCTACAAACACGATTAGTACATAAATATCTAACGGGCTAATATTTCACTATTTTAATAAAAGTGACTCGACTTTGTAAATATAAAGTTTTAATAGCAAATACTGAAAGCAATATTGAGCAACTATGACGCAAACATGGTGCACTGCTAATATCAGCTGGCAACGAGGGGTCTCACGCCCCCTAGACTTACGCCAGACGCTACATACCACCCACCCCGCCTGGACGTCGTAACGCCAGGACAGAGTGCACCCCTTCGCTAAGAGCGCTACCCGCCCGTCCAACACGTTGCATCCAACGGTGTCAGATTGACGGACGCCCATAGTATAGACAAAAGGACTACAGTTTAGAATATGGTAACATATTTTCATATGTTCCGTATTCTAAAGCTGCGCCTGCAAAGGCCTAGTAATGCATGGGTATATCTCCCAGAGATGGTGTTCACGGTCTTATGCCGCGGAATCCTTGTAACTAATTTGATTAATTAAATAATAAAAAGGATTGAGTTTAAAAACCAAAAGGATTCCCACCGAATACTAGTCAGTGCATCGTCATATTTACTCTCGCGCTGGAAATTTTTCGCAACACTAATTTAAGAAATGCAAAATTTTAATAAAAAAGAATTTAATGTCTCTAATTAAGAATTCTTTGCAATGAAACCACAATTTATTGTGAAAATTAATAAAACATCCTCGGGCGACTCCCTCCTCAGAGTAAATTTTCAAGATTACGCAAAATGTGTTGAAATGGATCACTCTGACTTGGAAATCTACCCGTCACGAATTGTCTTCTTGCACATAATTTGTTCATTTTTTCATGAACGTGTAAATAAGTTAAACTTCGCTATTGAATGAATGAAATTTTAAAAAATTCTCAAATTATATTTGAATTTATAATTTACAAAATGTAATTAAATCAATGTATTAGCACCATTAATATGTATATCCAGTATACATATTACATAATACTATCAATATTATATTGCTTTGAACCATCGCAATAATTAAGTCAGATAGTATTTGACTTCTCTATTACAGACAAACTAAATAAAATTTTTTCGGTATTAAAATATTCTAATTCCACAGTTAAGAATATTTAAGAGCATTCATATATTTCAAAAATGTCTATTGGAATATGTGGAATTGAAATGATATTAAAACGCGGAGTACAAGAAGACCTAGCCTAACTAAATGAAATGAAACAATAAAAATGTTACTACTCATGGGTATGTATAATCATACCCATGGTCACTATGCTTGCCAAGCACGTATACAACTAGTAGCCCGTGTCGATTCGGACCATTCGTCCTACGACATGATTGGGCTACCAGAGGAACCATAAAACATGCGACTCACCGTTCGCAGATATACTCTTCTTCAGGTAGGAGGCTGCCTTGTAGGAGAATACTGAAGTCGTGAAGACATTCATCTGTAACAAAAAAAGAAGAATTACGGTTAATTTTGAAAATTATAAATTTTTATTCTAATAAAATTATATATGAAATTGAATTTTATAAAATATTAGCAATTAAAAAGAAATCTCAATTATCAAGTGTTGAAATTGTAAATTATTTTATTTTAATAAAAAGCAATTAAGTGACGTACCAAGACGGAAGTCGTGAAGAAAGCCAGAAAGCCACCATCAGGATATCCAGGAACTCGGCAATCAAAAAATTCATCTGTAACAAAACAAAAAAGAATTACGGTTAATTTTGCAAATTATCAATTTTTGTTCTAATAAAATTATATATGAAACTGAATTTTATAAAATATTAGCAATAGCAATTAAGAACTCTAAATTATCAAGTATTGAAATTGTAAATTATTCTATTTCAATTAAAATTAATTAAATAAAGTAATAAGATACTTACACTCTTTCCTTATGGAGCAACGCCCAAAACTCCTCTTCAGTGGTGCTTTGACTCTAATACCGTTATCGAGCAATTAAAAAAAAAATTAAAAATAAAAATAGTAACGCGACCGTGAATAATTTCCGGCGAACAATTGTAAAGACTCTACTTTCACGATGGAAAAAGAAAAATCAGAGCCGCGATGCTCTAGAAAATACTTTATTATACGCAGCAAACACTGACTCTACTTTCGCGTGATTCCTAACTGTACAAACGCAACACTATTCAGGGCCAGTTCACCCATGAAAAAATCAAAACATTGGAAATATGTACGTACAAACACTGACTCTACCGACCGCCTTGCGCGCGGCCACAACAATTCCTGGAAGAAAAGATTAGTGGGGTGATTTGGGATGGGTGGAAATATAAAAACAACAAACATTTTTCGTATTGAACATTCCTTAAGGAAATACTGTTATTAATGACTTGTAAATGGAAATATCACTGTTCCTGAAATATCTTCAATGAACACAAATATTATTAAAGTTCAATACTGATCCTAGTTAATACCGTAATAATGAAATGTTTTTAATGATCGTTGATAATTATTTCAATGAATATTATATGGATAGAAAATCATTGTTTAAAAAATATAATAGTCTCTTTCATTAAAGTAGAGGATTCTTGTTGTTAAGATTGCAAGCATATTAAAACTTGTTGGAAATTATATTATGACGTGATTTATAAATTATCTAAACTCTTTTCGATAAACAACGTCCAATAATTAATGATGCATAAACAGTATGTAATTTAATAATGATTCTATTTTAATTAAAATCTGCACCAAAAGCTGTATATTCTAATATAATTACTATGATTTAACAAGAATAAATTGTTTAAAATAATTAAAACAAATAAATAATAGCAAAAGAGAAGCAATCATCTGCAGTAAAATACAAACTGTTTCAATTATGTTTTAATTTAAAACGCATATATTAAATTACTAGTCAAAATTATTTAATAAAATGAAAAATTAATTATCCTTTTTCTATTAATTAATCAAAGAAACATAATTTCTCTAATCTTTTTTTCATTGACCTCAGTACTAATTAATTATTCAAAATGCTTGCAATTAACAACGACTCAGTAAAAAAAAGTGGCAATAAATATTATTAATTGATTACAATAAATCAAAATGTTACCAATTCTTTACCAAATTGTATTGCATATTAGCACGAAGTGTCCTGGCGTTGTATCTCGTGGCGTCTTTTCAATGTCAACAAAATATCTGTAACAAATAAGAAATACAAGATTATGTTAATAAAATTTACCAACCCTAACCAACAGCAATAAAATTATGACTAACAAATGATCAAACTCTATAATTTATGCAAAATATTTCAACAAATATGTGTACCTATGTACTACATATACGGAACGACGTCTCAACATGTCTTATCACCTCGACATTCGCGAAACAAATGACGCATCCTTCCTACGACCATTCGGGGTTGTTCGGCTTGATACCGAAGCAGGTAGCCGAACCGATCTCGTGATATTATGATTCTGAAGGGAGAAGGTTATCGAACTCTCTTATGAAAATCAGTATGTACATCAAAATCAATTTTTTCGCGTTAGCACGATAAATTATGGAAAGAAATACCGAAAAAATGAGAAAATTTAATAACGTTTAGAAAACTATTGATATAAAAGAGAAATAATTAAGATGTTGCTGTTCCAATATCAATTTCAATTCGCAACAAGAGTAAGAAATTTCACCTTACGCATTTCTGATAACAATGTGGAATTGATGTCAGAAATCCTGCACGTGGCCTTCTATTCTTCGTACTTCTGACACCTAATACACAATTTAATACAATATTTTAATATGATTTAATATAACTTCGTTATAAACACGTGCACTCAGGAAGAAGCGCCAAAAGGAAATGACGTAATGAGTTAGCATGCGCATATCGCCGGTAACGACGATTCTAATTGGTCGACAATGGAACCGATGATTCTGATTGCTCGAACTGGGACAGCCAATCACCGTCGTTGATAGAAATTAAGAATTGCGTTCTTCGAGAAAACGATCACATAATAAATTCCAAAGAAAAAATCGAGCATTGTGGATATATATAAAGAGATTTATATAATAAGAGTAAAAAAAAAACATGAATACATCAAGGGAAATGCTGATTAAAATAAAAAAATAATATACCCATAATTGCGGGTGGGGATTCACCTCACCAATAGATAACCTCAATTAAGTTGCAAAAACTAAATCATTTTTCAGAGTTTAAAACAATAAATTATGAAAACAAGTAACGTGTTGTTGATAAAAGAGAAGAAATATCTAAGATAATACTATGTTAATTTAAATCTGAATTCGGGACACGAGTAAAAAATTTTACCTCACGTATTTCTGAACACAATGTAGAATTAGTGTCAGAAATCTTGCACCTGATCTTCTCTTCAACTTTTCCTTTCGTTCTTCGTACTTCTGATACTTAGTATACAATTTAATATAATATTTTAATATAATTTAATATCACTTGTTAAGAACGCGTCCACTCCGAATGAAGCTTCGAAGGAAAGTGACGTACTAGGTCTGACATGCGCACATAGTCATTGGAGGGAAATTTAAAGTTGTATAGTTAAAAACTTTAATATTAAAATAAACGTTTAAATAATAATTACAAGAGAAAAAACAGATGGATGTTAGAGGATTCTTCGAAATGCTTATTTAAATGTCGGACAGTTGCTGTATACCTATTCTAATTTGAATGTTGTTTATTTTCTCCTCTTTTGCAAGAGTTGGTCGCGTGGTGCAGCACCATACCAGCCACAAGTAAAATTCGGGTATGAGAATTCTCCATCTTACTTTTACTTCTTAACAATAGGTTGCGCTAAGATTATCAACAATAACCATTTGTGTATGGTGTTAAATATGTATTATTTTTGTATTTAGTTCATTAAGTAGTTCATTAATTAATATTCTGCGGCAGTACCTTGTAAAAGCCTTATAAAATAATAGTATCATATTAAAAATATTACATAGGTATACGTTAATGGTAATATAAAATATTTCTTTTTCAATTAGAAATTGTTTCAAACTACTTCTAACAATAAGATTTTTATGTAATTTGTATTTACATATCTCGGCAGTTACCATAATACTTTGAACCATGGCTGCGAAAGTGTATCAATCAGATCAGGAATTGGAAACGAAGGTTAAGAAAGGTTAGGACTGTATGTATGTTACAAACGAATGCATTTCGACTTTTGATGATTATTGATATATTATTTTCTATCGTTGTAGCAACTGAGCGTATATCTGAAAATATGCACATAGTTGCAAACGAACCATCTCTTGCCTTTTATAGGTTACAGGAACATGTAAGAAAAGCATTGCCTCCGATGGTGGAGAAACGTGTTGAAGTGCTTGCTCTTCAGCAGCAACTGTTAGGCAGATGTTATGATGTAGAATATGCTGTGAGCGCAATTAAAACAATGCATGGTGCTGGAAAAAGTTTTGAGAATACATTAGAATTTATAAAAAATGCAATATTTTTCAAACAGCAATTGAAATACGAAGAGCAACGTAGACATAAAAAAGACAGCAATAGAGATTCTGTATACAAAAGACTATCTGCCCACATTCCCACATTAGATCATTTACCGGATGAAATATCTGATGTTGTAAGAGAAACTGCAAATAGAGTAGAATCCATGATGAATCATGCTAGACATTCTACGGAGATTCAAAAAACAAGCTAAATAACTATTTTTTATCATTTCTGATATTGTGGATTTAATGTGTAAACAAATTACGATTATTATTATTACTGCAAAAAGTATCACCAAGTTGTAAACAGGTAATTTGCAGTCAGAAAATAATCTAAAGGAACATGTAATGAATATTATTGAAAATTATTATGATGCTCTTAATATCGTAAAATATTTAAATACTTTCTATATATTTCTGGTATTTCGTATTACATTTGGAAGTTAATTATCATCACTTCAGAAAAGAATAATTAAAATCACACTTTGTTGTTCATATAATCCCATGTATAGAATTAGATCGCATAGATGTCGCTAAATTCGCATGAGTGGTGTGTATTGTCGGACGAATTGGTGTATAGAATGTTGGTTGATATATGAAATTGTGATAAAAAAAGACAAAGTATGAATTGGAACGATTGTTGAACGATAATGTTCATTTGAAACATATTTTATTATTAAAGAAGTTTTACGGTATGTTGGTTATTTGATATTCTTGTTTGTTATAGGTTAATTTTGTTTAGTATTTGCATAATGTTGCCGAAATTTTAACTCATTTTATGTTCTATCGATTACTTTATGTAATCGTATGTAATCGTAATTTTATTCAATAAATTAATTTTTGTATTGTGCTATCACGGAATGTCATGTGAAGCAATAATTAATACATGTATAATTGACATACATTCAAATACTTCACTAATTTCACATGATGTAGGACACTGTACGTTCTCCACATATAATCAGATTATTTAAAAATTTCTATTTTAAATTGATTGTAACGGCAATTTAAAAATTCCACGTAATTAACAACAAAATTAACTAAGAAATAAAATATTCTTATGTAATTATTTGACGAATATAATGTTTAATCAGGGCTGGCCCTGGGCCTGGGCAAACTAGGCGGCAACCTCGGGCCCCCATAATACGATTTTGCGTCTAAGAATGCAAAAAGAGTAACGTTTACTTGAATATTAATCGATGTAAATGCAAATTTAAATTATTTATACAAGCTTTAATGTTAATTTTATAAATTTTATTCGACATACCGATAACTGCAACAGATTTACTATACGCAATCGTAAATATTAATATTAAGATTGTTTAATTTTGCATAGAAATTTTCGTTCATCGATAAGTACGGAATTTCCAAGCAGATTCTACAGACAAGACAAATGAATATGCTACACGCGTTTCTTAAGAGAAACCACGCAAATACTTTGCGATTATAAAGTCATGGGTGCCGTGTCTTGTATGGACTTCAAATTACTGTTACTAAAAAGACAATAATTTCTCTTGTCGATAATAAGCAATTTCAACTGTGCTTTAATAATTAGGTAAAAATCTACAAATATTTCCTATACTTTTATTTGTTTTTTGTAAAGAAATTTGTTTAAGTCTATTTTATATTTTTATATTAACTCATTTGCCTTTCAGGATTCATTGAATGTAATATGTTATTTCTAATAATTACAATTGTAATCACGTAATAGAGCCAAAATTTGCGTGAGATGTGTCAGTCCATCGTGACGAGGACAACGATTTCCGTGAATCAGAACTGGTCTCTTCTGTTGTATTCAAAATAGTTCCGGGAACGGTGAACGTTATTTGAAGCTGTCCGTAATAAGATTTCCAACTAAACTGTTATTTGTTGTTTATACGTATGCATAACACCCATTTGGTAACCGCGTATATGCGTGAACGATGAAAATCATTCGAAACGCTCCGTAAGTGTACTTTTTCGAGGAACCGAAGCGTTTCCGTTGTTTTTAATTTAGTACATTGGCATTCAAATCTCCGTATAGACTTATACAAATTATATTTCTCGACCAACAGAAATCAACATTGGCGGTTTCCGGATATTCCACATACATTTACACAAATTCCATGAAGCTATACACCAGCTGAAAAGCATTGTGAAGTGCATTTTTTCTCAAGGATAATTTAAAAACGCATCTTCCTTGAATGCTTAATCAATGTTTGCATTCTTGTCTTCCTAATGCTCGTAAAACTACTTTGTTATCAGCTATTATAACGGTTTGCCGCTGTGCTACTTGCGAGCCGTATGTATGTATTACATTTTACCGTTTCCCTGCCATTCAGTATAATACTTTCAATGGGTAATGAACTTTAGTGAAACGTTAAAAACGTGCAAAACTTGGTCCGCCTTTCATAAAAAGTGTTATTATATTTCAGTGCATAACACTATTCCCAATAAATTTCGTCAGCCAACTCGTATGTTGGTTTAACAGTGATTTGGAGACGGCTGGTTCGCGCGCATTTTATCTTGTGAACACGAAGGAGTAAAGAAGTGCATTGGTTTAAGGATGTAAATACGAAATTTAAATATTTTATCTATTCGAAGAAATAAATATTCAAAAAAAGTATTATTTTTATTAATATTAAACTTCACAGTCACGAGTGATACGGGTACCAAAGGTAACAGGTATAGCTGCGTGAAAGGAGAGAGAAAGAGAAAAAGAGACGAATACAGCCGAATCTAGCCGAAACAAGACGATCGTTTTCTGAAGGGTCGATCAGGTTGCTGGAGCGTGAGCGCAGCTGTTGGTCGGCGAGCGCCGCACTGTCAGTATCGTTTATGTTGTTTTCTTTTCTCTCTTTTTCAAATTTCTGGTACCAAATTATATTGCTTTTTCGTGATTTTCAATCGTCAGAGCTAGGTGAAAGATCTATTTCTATTTCAGAGAGAAAGATTTTAAGACAAAAGTTATTCAGTAGTTCGATTGATAAGTTGTATCTAATGTATTGGTTATGATTTAAATATTTACTTAACACAGTCATGTAAATAAGAAGTTATATCACTTTTTTTATACTGTCTCGTACAAGCCTTTTTTGAATGTTCGAAAAAAGAGGGGAAAAAGCGAACACGGGATACGTGACCACGTGTACAATACGTCAAGAGGTTCATCGAATTGCTGTGTGAGCCTTACCGAGGTATGCTCGACCGCATTTATTTATTATTATTATATAGATCACTAATATACGGGTTAATCTCATGGAATCACACTATTAATAAGAATACAATTTTTTCAATTTACGAGTCACACCATTCATAATCTGTAAATTGTGAACTTTATAACAGAGGATTTTATGATAATTGATGAATGTACCCGATTATTTGATACACGATAAAATTAAACCGATATGCGAATACTTGTTTAACCATATAATAGGAAACGAAACAATGAGTATTACACAAAATAATTGAAATTAGCGGAAATGATCATTTAAAAAATTAATTAATATTGTCATGCACATTATATGTATTTACATGCGTTATTAGTGTCCATTTTAGTTGCACAATTTTCATACTGTATTAAAGATGCAGTACATGTAACGAAAGTAGCCGCGACGCGGTAAAGAATTTATTTACACAAAGCACGAGTTACATTTAACTTAACGCATCCACGTGATGTATCCCATAATAAAATACCATTGAGACGCGTTGGACTAATACAAGAGTTCTATTTTTAAGATATAGAAGACAACTTGAAATTGTGTCTAATCAAAAGCTCTTAGGGGAAAAAAACGATAATGTATCTTTATATTCGGTGCATAGTTTCTTGGTCATACTTTCTACTTATTTCATGAAAGAATAATACTCTTCATGGCTTTCACGTTCTTTCTTATTTTCACTTCTTTATACAGAACAGCAAGGAAGAGCAAACGATTACAGACAAACAAAAATTACATCCGCGAAACTGGACTTTTCATTATTTTATGTTTAAAATTTTGCAAGTCGATTATTTTTGGCTCACCACGATCCGGGAAAACGAAAGAGAAATATACAACGAGTCGATACTTTATTTTTGATCGTGATCGGAGTATGGGATTGTTTATCAAATAAGAAAATGTCTAAACGTTGTTCTATGAGTTCGAAATCTACGATGTGCAATTTGAATCGTGTGCCAAATTCTTGAAGCCTCGTTTTTTATTCATACGAATTTTGATTTCTAAAATTGTGAAATTAAACATTAATGTATGCATAAATGTCCCAATACATCGTAAAACACTTGGCACGTGAACGATGACCCTAATATTCAAACTGCTGTTTGGGTTCAGTTTAATTATGCTAATTTATATATCATTAAAGATAAGTGACGCAAACTAAAGTAATTAATACTCGATCAGTTTAGCATAAATGTTCATTTGATTTAATTATTGGTCAATTTTATCTCTGAAACATATATCTCTTCGCTGCTACTCGAGATTTATCATTTTCAGGAAATCGGAGCATTTCCTGAATCGTTTGACACCGCTTTATTTGAATGACAATACCCTGTCAAAATAATGGTGTAAGTGCTTTCAACGGTAGTTTCATTGAAAGTGAGAAGAGGTCAGTGGTCAGTCGAGTATAGAAATGTTCTCATACGCTCTTGGAAAGTTACCGACCTTGACAGACATTTCATTCTTCCAACTTATGCCTCTCGTTGAACTAGTTCTTTTTTTAAATATGAAATCGCAAAAATATGATCACGTACGCTTATGTTAATAAATAGTCAGAGAAGGACGTTCGTTTTTTGCTAACAGATAACTCCGTCATCCTTGGGGAACCTAAGGGTGTCTCTGTTTGATTTTAAACGACCCCGTTGAAAATCATGGTGTAATACCAAAGGGCACATCTATTTATAGAGGTACTGTTTAAGTTACGTTACTCATCAGTGGTTTCGTTACCTTCACCTTTGCTTCGCGTTGCCTGAGTTTCTCTCAGCATCACCGAACGTCCTAGGACAAACCGGTAAAAAATGGTACTTCACTCGAAGAAAATCAAATGCCGACAAACACGTGTCGGACTTTGTTCAATCATTGAAATTATTATGACTATATGAATCAAGATTGACATAAAAAGGAAATGTACCGTCGCAATAACCACAGTCTTTTGTTCGCTTTCTTCGAAACGTATTCCTGATCCCCGGCTTCGATCAACATCCTCTTCTCCTCGAAAAAGTAAGAGGTGCCACACTTTACGTTTACCCTGTCGATTTCACCAACATACACCCTGCCGTAAAAGTATTCGTTCACCGTTTAAAACAGAATACCTCGTTTAAAATTGGACCAAGTTTGGTTTCTCGAGAAGCTATAAAAATTAGTTTACTAAGATATGTGCGTTTGTCGTTTGAAAAAATTAAAATTTACCGAAATCGGGAAAGAAATGGTAAAAGACAATTTTTCAACTTTTTTGTCTGAACTTGTAACGAAAATTTAAAATATGACATTTGTAAATTTAAGTATGTTACAGTGTATGCTGAAAATATCATCGAGATCGGTCAATTGATCGGTATTGAATAATTAAAATTAACCGATGATTCTGTGTTTCTAGGTTGTAAATAGTTGTTGCGGAAAACAAGAAACATGCTGACGCGGTTGTTCGAAATTCACGGCCGGTTCTGTGCTGGTCATCCCTTGGAAGTGATTGTGACGACCTTCACGCTCACAGCATGCATCCTGAACATGGAGACCGGAAGTGTGCAGTCGCGGGATAGAGCTCTTCCTGTGTCACCGTATTGTCGAGCTAGCCGATGTAATTCGGACGTAAGCAGATTTCCAGAAAATCCGCCCATTTCGGGCAACAATTATATTACACGATTTACGTTTTATCATTTATTAGGACCTAAATGCAGCCGATATTATAGTCATGACTATGATAAGATGTATAGCAATACTGTTCACCTACCACCAGTTTCGCAATCTTCAAAAATTGGGTTCAAAATATATTTTAGGTAAGCAACCGTGTACCTGCTCTATGATCATTGTGCATAATGATCATTGTAAATGAATCTTTGAAAAATTGGATGTACGAAACACGTATGAAGTTCACCATGATTATGTACTGCTCGATTATTCATATAGCAGGACCTTTCCATGGTACGCGTGAAAGCTTTCAGTGTCAGTGAAAGTTCCATGGAAAGCGATAACGTTTCATTCTCACGATACGCAATCGACATTTAATTATCGAATTTACATAAATTTGTGTTTGTGAAATATTCAACGTATTTCTGGTGCTATGTTGATTTCCTCTGAAGCCAAATAGATTTATTTATCGTCTAATGATTGGATAATAAACTGAACTATAGAAATATTTCAGAATAATAATAATATTTTAACGGTATGTTTTATCAGGTATCGCAGGCCTATTTACAGTATTTTCCAGTGTTGTGTTCACATCCAGCGTAGTGAATTTCGGCCGTAGCGAAATTTCGGATTTGAAGTAAGTTCTCGTTGAACAAGAAAATATAATAAAATTGTAAATATGTATAAAAATGATTATTTTTCAGGGATGCATTGTTCTTCTTTCTGCTTATCATTGACCTTTCAAAGGCCGCTATATTAGCACAGCTGGCTCTAAGCGCAAGGAACCAAGAGGAAGTGAGAGCAAATATTGCTCGCGGGATGTCGTTGTTAGGACCAACTATTACATTAGACACATTAGTGGCAACTCTACTTATTAGTATAGGATCTTTATCCGGTGTTAGGAGATTAGAGATCCTATGCAGTTTTGCTTGTCTCGGTGTCGTTGTTAATTATGTTGTTTTCATGACTTTCTATCCTGCGTGTTTATCGCTCATCCTTGAGGTAACTTTTTTTCTATGTCATCTTCGAGTAATTACAGATAAGTTCATATTATAAATACTACGTTAACATTGTTTTCCAGCTGTCTCGTAGCACTAACAGTATAAAACCGTTAAGCGCGGATAAGATTTTCATGATGCATCCATTGAACGAAGAGGATCAAAAGCCAAATCCGGTAGTAGAACGGGTTAAATTAATCATGATGGCTGGCCTATTTGTGGTACACGCTAACAGGTATATTTCCGTATTATTTCCTGCATTTCATAATCTACACAAATACGTTTTCTTTTTTCTTTCTTCTTTTTTTTTTCGTTTGAAATGAACTTTATATATTATACATCAGATAGCGGGTAACAATACAAAGAAATAGCGACAGAAAGTTATCAAGAATCTGCCCCACACCGTGTGTAGATTTCTTTTTTTAACCGAGCGTACTTCTTGTTTGACAGTTTTCTTATTCTTAACTTCTACGGGGTCAGGTTCAACTTATTACACAGTAATATAAGTATACGTTTAATTCATATTCAATGAATTTCAAAAAAAGGAGATAGTATCTCAACGGACGTTCGGGTTCCTTTAACCCTTTGTATACTAAGTTAGGAAGCAGTGTACTATACGCTCGTGCCGAGTTAAGAATGACAACAATTATTCATTCTTTTATTGCCGAATTCGGGAAGATTCTGTTAAAATAGCACGCAGGGAAGGTTAAACTTTAAATTTACCGCAGTTGTAGTAATCTTTTTTAAAAATTTTTCTTTCTTTACTATCATCGATAATAGAAAAAGTGTACGAAAAAATTGTTTATTTATTTCAGTCGTTGGCCTTTTAAAAATGAAGAAAGAGAACATACGGTAGAAGGCAAAGCGTCGCCAACAAATTCGCATATCATAGCAAGTTCGTACAACAAAACAGAAAGTTCTTCGGAGGTGAAGGAATACTTAATGAATTGGCTGTCAGTTAGTGCAGATAATATTGTGATACTGATCCTTCTTCTCGCGCTTGCGATCAAATTCATTTTCTTCGAGGATAAAGGAGATATCGCTAAGCAATTACGATTCAAAGAAGAGGACGATACGGATGAAAAAGTTGAAAGTGAATATGCTACTAGTGAAAGTATGAATACAGCTACTATGAATATGTCACTGCGACAACGCTTTGGTGGTTCAATGCCCCCGATGCGGTCAGCCGTTTTTCCCTTGTCAGGCGTAGGTGGTGGTTGGATCGACGTTGACAATGAATATCAGATGGAGTTCATCGACAAAGAAGTGCAAACTGATGTAAAACAATTTAGTGCGGATATATTGAGCACTGAAAGTCTACCTTTACAATCGAAAGTTCCTAGATCCATAGAAGAATGTCTTGAAATATACAAGTCTGAAGTAAGCGAATTCGTTATTATTATTATATATGTTGTTTTAACATCATTTTTTTTAATATTCACAGCTTGGCGCAAGTGGATTAACAGACGAAGAAGTGATTCAATTAGTAAAATCCAATCATATAACTGCTTATCAGTTGGAAAAAGCAGTTGGGGATATGGAGAGAGGAGTTGGAATCAGACGTCTCATAATTGGGGAAGCTGGAAAATTCACTGAAAATCTATCGGACTTACCGTATAAAGATTACGATTATAGTAAAGTGTTAGGAGCATGTTGCGAGAATGTTATAGGATATGTACCAGTGCCGCTTGGAATTGCTGGCCCATTGTTAGTTGATGGCGAATTGTACCATGTACCAATGGCAACGACTGAAGGATGTTTAGTAGCATCGACGAATCGTGGAAGTAGAGCGTTATTAAAATGTGGCGTAACGAGCCGTGTAGTGGCTGATGGAATGACTAGAGGACCAGTTGTAAGATTTCCAAATATCGTTAGAGCCAGTGAAGCTATGGCATGGATGCAGGATCCTGAGAATTTTGAAGAAATGAAGGACAGTTTTAATTTAACCAGTCGATTTGCTAGATTGACGAAAATTCAAGTACGCATCGCTGGTAGACATTTGTTTATTCGCTTTGTGGCAACAACTGGCGATGCAATGGGGATGAACATGTTGTCCAAGGGGACAGAAAAGTCACTAAATACGGTGAAGGTACACTTTCCTGATATGGAAATATTATCACTGAGCGGTAACTTTTGCACTGATAAAAAGCCAGCAGCTGTAAATTGGATTCAGGGTAGAGGTAAAAGTGTCGTTTGTGAAGCAGTAGTACCTGCAGACATTGTTACTAATCTGCTGAAGACATCAGTCCATGCCTTAGTTGATGTGAATATAAGTAAAAATATGATTGGTTCTGCTGTAGCTGGTAGCGTAGGTGGTTTTAATGCTCATGCTGCCAATATTGTAACTGCAATTTTTATAGCTACGGGTCAGGATCCTGCACAGAACGTCGGTAGTAGTAATTGCATGACTTTGATGGAACCATGGGGAGCAGATGGTTCGGATTTGTATGTGTCTTGTACAATGCCTAGCATAGAAATAGGTACAGTCGGAGGTGGAACCGGTCTTCCTGCACAGGGTGCTTGTTTAGCTATATTGGGTGTTAAGGGCCCGCACGTCAACCAACCTGGTGAAAATGCGAGCAGATTAGCTAGAATCGTATGCGCTACAGTGCTTGCTGGCGAACTTTCATTAATGGCAGCCCTTACAGCTGGTCATTTGGTTAAAAGTCACCTCAGGCATAACAGGTACGTTGACCAAAAGTAATTTATTTAACTTTTTAATTTAATAGAACAAGAAAGTTACATAGTACATTATTTTATTTTAGATCGTCTACCATGGTAACAAATGCAATGACTGTTTCTCAAAATAATATGGGAGATAAACTAACTGTGCCAAATGTTTTACAACCTGTACAAAACGTTTGTAAAGAATTTCCAGAGAAGTCTTAGCAATAATTATGCATAAACGGCTTGGGTTAGGTCTTCTTGATTTTTAAATAGAATACCGTGTACATGCTATTATACGACTGCTTTATCAGAATATTCCAAAGAACTATAATTTTTTTGTGGACATGGGAGAATATCTACCAAAAACCAAAACAGAAATAGAAATAAAAGTAGTGAAGTGGTTTTAATACTTTCAGTGGAAACATAGTAACAAATTTTAAATAACGATCTTTAAGGCATAGTATTTAACGTGCAACGAAATGTGTATACTTAATTTACAAAGAATTATGCAGTTGCTCTTGGTTGTATAAAATTAACATGACGCAAAGATTATTTTTTTGCAAACAGAGTCATATTTTTAGGTAGTGCAATATTAATTTTTTAGTTATAATGATTTAGTCAATCAGGTTCTCATAATGTAGCAGTACAAAATTAATGTATTCAAAGACTGTACATTATGTAGTATACCAAGTACAATCTACTTAATGAATGCTTTCGGCAATTAAAGTATACATATACATATATTGATAATATATATGTATATATACATATTGATAATACATTTGTAATATAATAACATGTATATTTATTAATATATGTGTATATATTAAGGTGTTATAACATAAACATTGTAAAATATACTTTTTGTTTATATATGTTTAACTAATAAAAAACGATTAGGATAAATGATTAAAAATATAAAATGCATCGAAGTTTAATTGAAAACATTTTATTAAAAAAAAATACATAAAAATAAATAATTAATTAATGAGAATATTGAAAGTTTCCGATTTTCATTCAGTGTTTGTATAAATTCGGTAGATAATATTTTTGAAAAAAAGATTCTATCAATATATGAAAAAGACATACAATGTTGAAACACAGCCTAATTAATACCTAAGTTATTCATTACAGTTATAAACTACATTTTTTCATAAGTTTCTTCATAACCACAAGTAACACAAGTGTGTGTATATGTATCATTATCTTCATTATATGTATCTTTCCCAAATTCGTGCGTATGGGAAGCTTTCGTTGTTTTATCATATATCGAACTTCTGACTTGCATTCGTAACTGTTTAATCTAGATAGTAAAAACAGTGATAAGATTTTGAGAATAATACTTGTACTAGTAGATTTTATCTATTCCAATATGAACATGAAATTAAGTTTTATACATGCTTGTTACCTTTTTATTGAATTTTTTAATTTTGGTCCCTTCTCTCTTAATATCGCGTAATTCTTTTTCTTCTAATAATTTTTCTTCAGTACCCCATACTTCCAAAGCCCTCTGCTCGATCTGTAGTTGTAAATACAATTTCATATCACCCCAGTTTGAGTTATGAGGATTTCTTCTGGTAATGAATTTTAATGGAGGTTCTCTTTTATCAAAATCACAATCCTTTAATAAATATTCTTGTTTTGCTTCTGTTTTTGTGATTAAAGAATGTTTTTCATCTGGATCTCTGAAATAACATGTCTAATCATGATAACAGTACTACTTTCAAATAAGTATTTTCAAATGATGGTTGTACCTGCATTTATCACATACAGCAAGATCAAATGTTTTTAAGAGATAAGAATCTTTAAATTCCTGTTGACACTCGTCACAATGAGGTGAATCAATAATGATAGGAGCAGGCTCTGTTGTTATTCGTAACTAAAACAAAACAAGGTATTAGATTGAATATTAGGAAACCATAAACTACAATATCTTTTAGGACAAACCAATTGTTCTTCTAAATCGTTATCTTCCTCTATGAGGAAACCACCACCACTGTCTATAACACGCTGTCCTTGAACTTTTAATTGTCTCCCCTTTATTGAACCTGCATTTTCACTGTAAAATAAATGAAATTGGCTTCTACATATCTTTCAATCTGCCATAACAATAACAAAGATCTATCATATCATACCTTTTTGCATAGGGATGAGATACAATTTTAGATTTCTTTAAAAGTAATGCTTTTTGACGATTTCGTTCTGCACGTTCTTTAAAATGTTGGCTACTTTCTACTGAATCTTTATCCTCAGAAGAATCACACAATTCTACCGTAGTAGACATTTTTTTTGCATATAAATAAATGCAGAATCTAAAACAGAATAATCACTGTTGATACTTTAACAATGAGATGTTTGTATGATTTGTGCAGGTTAAATTTACAAATTTTATACATATTACAAAATTTATTGCAATTTTATTAATAAAACAATTTATATTTATTGCGTAAATTTTTATTCGATGCATAATATAATTAATACAGCATACACTTAACGATTTACAGAAAAGATTATACAAAAATATAAAAAGCATATTATAATTGATTTCCATTACCTAAAAGTACTTATTCTATAACTTATATAATCTATAATTTTTAATTTGATTTGTTAGCTTTCGCAGTGACTACAGATCCAACAAGATCGGACATTGGACATGCCTTTCTTTTCAAGGGATCTTGAATTAGTGTTTCCCTGTTTCGGAAAATCAAAGGGTAAGTTGTCGAGTAGTTTCCACTACTTTTGTATAGATGACGCTACGATCGAAAATTTAAACATACCGCCCTTTCTTTTCGGCATCCGAAGATCACCGAAGACTGCCGAAGACAGACAGACTGACTGACGCGCTTTAGCGCCTAAGCGTTATTTTCCGTTTCAGTCTTCAATAATTTTTCGGTCTTGTGTTGATTTTAGGAGATTTATCAAAAAAATCGGAGTAAAAATTGTCTTCTCAGTTCAGAGTGAGAATTGAAGTAAAAACGGGAAATCTAATTCAGTGGGGGTGTCTAGGACCCCTCAAATCATAACCCCTCGAGAACAAGGCGTCGCTATTCTTTTTGCGTCTGTAGTCATTGGTGTAGTGTTGCGCGAAATCCAACAGTTTTGTGATTCAGTGTAAAATTAAAAAAAAAGACTACAAATTAATGTATGGTTAGTAAAAATTTCCTAGTTATAGGGTGTAATTTTATCTTTGTCGTGTATTATATAGTTTCATTGTAATTATTGATATTTTCATACTATTTTAATTTTAAAATTACAGCAACCAGACATCCCCCCACGCTTACCGACAAAGTAGCGGCTACTTAAGATTTGAATCTTCGCAATGAAGACATCGAAAGATAAGTGAAAAATTAGAGATATTTATTTTTGGTTAATAATATATTCTAATATATATCACATTCATATTTAGAAATAACATATCGTAACAAATACTCGTAATATATACATATCAGTTTTAAAGTATTTAATACCTACATACCTGAAGTAAAAGCTTTATATTACTTACACGCGAGTTAAAGACAATTCATTAAAAAAATCTCTTATTTAATAATTGAAAGCAGGCTAAATTACAATTTTTCCTATTTAACACGCATCACAGTTTTTATATAAAAAAAAAAAAACGAGGAATGAGTAATTATTTTTTTGTAAAACATTGGTAACAAGTATCAAACGTACATAAAGATGGAGGTATATCCTGCACCAATCTAATTATGCATAAAGCATGAGCTATGTGCCCTTGTTTCTTTAATTCTTGTATAAGAATGTCCGCATTTTCCTTTACATTTATTAGAGATCGATTCACAAGTACATGTTCAATGATTCGACCATACACTTCATGATTTGGATTAAAAGATGCCGTTAAATTCTTTAAAAATAACATTTCTAATATTGATGTTGATAACGTTAATTCCTGCAACATATAATAATAAAGATAATGTAAAATGTATTGAGCAATTAGAGAATATATTATTGATCAAAATATAAGCATACCTTATGCTTTTCTTGAAGGATTATTACTGCTTCTTTATGTAATTCTGGGTCATCTGTGTCTAATTTGATATGAACTGCATGTTCAAGAGGAATATTCTCCTTATTTAAAAATTCTTTAAGCATCTGTTACATATAAATCAAAACAATTAATAATATGTAATAGATTAAACTCTTTATCTAATATGGTTACTTATGTTTTGATACTTACATTTTCTGAGGACAATCTTTCAATTAATTCTTTATATTCTTGAAAAATTCGTTTATCCTTGCCTTTGCCTCCTTCTGTTACATGTAGACTAAGTATCTCCATCATTTGTAAGACTGGATGTTTATCAAGTTGCGTATATTCAGGATCTTCAAATTTCGGCCATTGTATTAACATTCTTTTTACTTCATAAAAATCATCAGCATTTCGAATTTTATTGAACACTCTTTTAAAGGCATCAAACCGATCTTTCTCTGTTAGACATTTACCAGTATCCTTTAATAATATAACACTATTATCTGTACACAATTCATGTTCTAAGACATTTGTTTTATCATCAATATTCTCTACTATTTCTTCATCAGAAAAATTGCCCCAGTCATCAGTCCATTCTACATCATGATTAACACCAGATTCAGATAAATTCGAATTTTCAATTGATTTTTTTTTATCATTTGATTCTATAATAGTTGAATTTGATTTCTGTATACATTCATTGTCTTTTTTATCTGTATAATCTTCAATGATTTGATTTGATTCAGAAAACTGGGTGTCTTGTATTCCATGATTATTAAACATACGTTTTTGCCAATATTTAAAATATTCATAAGTGTCAGATTCTTTGCTCTTATGTGCTACATTTATCACTTTCCATATTAAACTTAATGGATTAAATGAATATAAATTTTTAAAATCTTTATATAAACTTTTATGCAACTCCAAACAGTAATAGTATATAGCAGTCTGAGTGTATAATTCTGTTTCAGGTAATTCCACTAAAACATTTTGCACCTCTTTTATATAATTCTTTTGTACGCTAAATAAATAACATATACCTAACAACCAATCTTCTTGCATGGTATACTTTGCACATTCTAAAAACACTGAAATATAAAATAATTTATTATTTATATTCAATTACATATTATCTTACCTGTATTTGTATTTTAATTCTCATGGAACACTTACAATGATTAATATCACTGACTTCCAATCCATAACAAGATGATTCGCTTAACATGGCTACTCTTAGAAAAGCGCGACAGCATTTTAACTTTGTGTTTTCTAAATCTGGCATCGAATAACTTGTATATTTACTATCAAGATTACTAACTTTACATTTTTCATGCAAACGTTCATAAAAGCATGGAAAACTTTGGACGTCGTCATCGTTTTCGTGGCGCTCTGTATTATCGTGTTCTGTATCATTGCCTTGGTTATTTGTGAAATTAAATTTCAGTCTAGATTTCCAAAAATTTGTATCGCTTATATTTTTAATTAAACCAAACGTTGAATCTTTCATAATGTTTGCAGAAGTTTTTACTATTTCAGTAGAAGCTTCTAACACTTTTGGAACGAATTCTTTAGTTTCTACCTGTGGCTGTAAATCAAAAATAGTTTAATACATTCCTATTGTTTAATTTGTTCATACATTTTTGTATACACAAATATTACTCACAGTTGTAAGTGCATCTATAAATTCATCTTCACTATCAGCATCGTTAAAATCGTCAGATTCGCTAGGTGGTATCCACAGTTCCAAATTTTTATGTAACATTTGTATTTCTATTAAATGTATTTGATCTAACGCTTTACTCAACATTTCACTAGGTCCATTGTTTATCGCAAACCATAAACATTTTTGTCTAGTTTTCAAATCATCATAATCTTCACAAAATCCTAAATCTAAAGCAACTGTCCAGGCAGGAACGTAATTATTCTGCATTAATTGCTGACAAGTAGCAGCACACACAGTAAAATCCTTTATCTAAAAGATTATGTTATTTAAATTTATTGTCTCTTGTTTACTTTAAAATATCATACTGAAACAAAGCTTTACCTCAAGTGCTTTCTTTGCTATTAACTCCAAAACTTTTCCTTCTCGTGTTCTACCGTTGTTCCTTTCGATTCGTAAATAATTTGCTAAAGTCAACAATCTTTGACGACATTTATGAGCATCCTCTCGAGTATTCAAACAGTCCTGTATCAATCTTAGTCTGTCTTGCATTAACCGAACTTGAAGCGGTAGTATATCAATGTTGAATTCAGTTAGAATTTGAAGTGAATTAATAAGGTCGTATTCTTCTTTGATTCGTGGATTGTCGTCTGCGATCAGGTGAAGACAGGCTCTGGAACAACATTATTAATAACAACTGATATAAAAAATAATCTGAACATATCAAGGAATAAACTTACCTAGCTAATTCCATACTATTATCAGTAAGGGACTTTGAGCTGTTGAAATATTCTTTACTAGCATCCAAAATTAAGTTCACTGCTCTTTCATAAGATACTTTCAACAAAGATTGTTCATTTTTCTTAGTTTCTATTAAAATAGTACAATTTTGTATGTTTGATTTAACTCCTGATACTAAACGTGCCGATACACAAATTTCAAAGCATGTTTCTATATCAACACATGAGAAAATCAAACCATGAATTTCAAGCATCCCATTTAATAACTGAGCCCATTGTTTTTCATCCGGAGGCGGAGTTCTTGAAATAAAACATAAAGAATATTAAATATAAAAGTGTTTAAAGTTTGTTAATCTTTTGGAATGGTCTATTTGCTTACATTTTATTCAAGCTTCTTGCCATTTCAACTAACAATTGTTTAGCAGCTTCAGGATTGCTTTTGTTTTTTCGCAATGCGTTCAGCGTGGTTTTAACTCCATACTGATTTAAGATTTTTGTACATACAAGTTCTCTATCAAGTTCCTCTTGCAATGTGCATATCGCGCTGGTTCTTTTACTATCGCGATCTTTAGAAATAGAATCCACAATGCACGTTGCTTTTTCGTACATATTAGGATCATTGCAAGCATAAATACAGTCTAACGCCAATGTAGCAATGTCTTCTATCATTTGAAGAATTTCTTCGTCACGAGACATTTTCAAATACTCAAAAAGTTTGACTGGTAGTTTTAAGTCTTCTTTACTAATGCATACTAAGTAATCGCTAAACAAATGTCTTTGTAATTCTCCACCCTATAAAATTTGATACATTAAAAGCTCTAGCACTTATAATAAATGTTTTGTGAAATTTGTACGCTTACCAAATACTGATGCCTTCTTTTTATAAATGGCAGTAAAAAATTTTTGATATCATCCACGAAACTTTTTTCAGTAGTTTTGCTCATTAACAATTTAATTTTCTCCAAATTAGATAATTTTTGTAATTGGTCTAAAGATAAATCTTCTAGATAAACTTTGTAAATGAGATCATCCAAAGTTTCCAAATTTAGCAAGAGATTTTCTAAACCAGGAATGTTGTGTGACTTGGCAATTTTTATTAATTGTAAAGCATTATCTACTATGCAACTGTTTCTTTCAATTTGATAAGCTCGCGATTCGTACCATTTTTGCAATAACTCTGGTGTAAGTAATGTATTTCTGAAAACAAAAATGAAACGTGTATACACAAATTTTAATATTAAAACAAAAACACAGCGAGGAAGATAGAATTTACCTATATATAGATAGTGATGGGTCGTCTTCATAAAGTACTTTTGATTCATCATCATTTTCTAAATTAATTATTTCATTGAATTCAATTTTCTCAGACCAGTCTTTTTGTCGTAATTCACATTGATCAAGTAAAAACAATTGGCCGTCGGTATCACATTCTGGTAGAAGTTTCTTATATTTCAATGGATTTAATGTTTCTGGGAAATAACTGATGATTGCTAGCCAATGAGGTAACAAATTTTCACCGTGATATGTGAACATAATTTCAACCCCTTGCCAGTCACCATCTTTCGCAAATCTGCTCTTAACGAAATAATAATACTAGTATAGAAGTATAAATCACTTTACGCTATAACAAATTTTTATTATTTTTTATACCTAACCGCATTTTCAATTGTTGAAAGTTGCCGAAATTCTTCATAGAATGTTTTATCATATTTTAATGATGATCCCAGAATGATTTCATATGTAAGTAGTTTATCTAAATGATCCAGAAGTTTCCTTCTATATTTAATTAAATCCTTTTGAGCTTCTGATAAATGTTTCATGTCAATTTTTTCGAGCAACTGATTTATCTTTTGTACCTATTTTGGTATATTATGTAATATATCTGTACAAATGTACTGAAATGTTTTTGTACAGGTCACATAATAACAACATAGCTTACCTGTCTTAAACTTATACTTGCTTCATCCATTTCATTCCAGTCTTCATCATTATCGTCCATCATCATAAATTTTCCATCATCATGAGTTCCAATTGCTACTAAAGTTTCCAAATTAGCACCCTTTAATCCAAAATTTAATAATTCTCGCGCTGCTTCAATGGTATCTGGAACCCGCGTAATGCATTCATGTAACACCCAAGATCTTTTTGTTACTTTGCTCAGATGTTCATGAATAGCATTCAAAGATAATTCAGACTTTCGCCATTGTGTCTGATATACCAAATCTGTGTCTAAATTATACATATTTGCTAATGCCAATGCTTCTTCATATTCCTACAATACAATTTTTTATTCAATACAATTTACATTGGTTTGGACTTTGTCTTCATACCTCTATATCAATTTTGCGTGAATACAATTCTTCAGGTGTTGTACTTTTAAGGCCAAGAATTCTATAAGTTCTGAATAACACTCTTGATTTCCTTCTTTTAGGTTGAAATCTTTCAATATCTGTTATAGAGTATAAAGTACTCTGCATTAAATTTGTGGTATAATTTAATATGCTAACTGGTTCTAGTTCATCGTCATTTTCTTCTTCACTATCTGACGAGGCTTCTTAGAAATTAAATAAATTATATCATTTATTATACATAGAGGAAATCAAACTGTTTATTGAATAGATAGTTTAATCCAAACCTGATATTTGACCCTCTGTATTAGTTTCCCTAGTTCTTTTTTTACTTGTTATAAATGTTTCACAATCCAGGCACAAAAATCCTCGATCTGGACCGAGTTCACATATTTGTGGTTGCCCGGCTAAAAATTCAGGACTTGGGCCCAATAGATTTTTTAAGTTCAGTGTACAGCAAACGGAAGTAGATCCAGAATATCTTGCAATTATAATTGCCTTTGAGAACATTGATAAATCAGTACCAATAAGATTGCATATTTTATTATATATCATTTTCAAAGAAAATAGTATTACCTCCTCAGACCACCAGCCAATATCTAATGGATGAAATTCAGTAACACCAGATGGAAATTTTTTCGATTTTATATGTCCCAATGGATTAGGTATATTGAAGTCTGGTTGTTCTGACAGTTTCCATTTCCTCTGTATCAATAAATTTGGTAACCTCCATAATGATATTGAACCATCTGTGTGTAAACATGTTAGTAACTTGCTATTGGGAGAAATTTTTATTTTGAATATGACTGATTCTGGTTGCAAGTTCAATGTTGGAATAATGTTCCATATAGAAAATTTGGATGTTGTTTTTGACTGATCATCAAAGGTAAATGACAATTTGCAGTATGGATAATCATACAAAGGCCTCCATGATGTTAATCCACTTTCTGAAGCTGTTGACTATAATATTTTATGATTAGAAGTGTCATATTAGTGTTTTTATTAGAGGTATATGTAGTTAAAAATTAGTTACCATTAATTTTTGGGTAATGGTATTTCCAGCAACATAAAATAGATGATGTTTTTCATCATAGGTAACAGTAGTTATTCCATTTTTATAAAAATTGCCAAAAGAAAATTCATAATTGTCTTCAAATCCATTGGTTGGTGAAATATGGTATGATCTCAGTAAACCACTGTACGTGATTAACATAAATTCATAAGACCATTTTTCTGAATTTTTTCTGGGTTTGAGAAATATCATAGAAGTTATTGCATCACCAGCTTCTAAAATATGAGGGTTCTGAGAAACAGCTCTGGGATTAATATTAAAAACATTGTTTCCCAGAGCATTATAAAAAGAAGTATGACCATTGCTAGATGCTAATGCTAAAAGTGTTCCATCTGGACTCCATGCAAGTTTTCTCCATTGTGGAAAAGCATCTTTTGGTACTAAAATAATGAAAGATTTTATGAAGAACATTGGTTTATGTTTGTAATCTTTACATGTTCAGATCATAGATCATATAACTTCATAACTTACCAGAAGCTTTTCCAACAACTGATGAGTATTCATCTTTTGCTTTTCGTATTTCTATTACAGTCTCTTGTAAAACTGCAAGTAATCTTCCACAGTCGCTAATTGCAAATTTCCATGGTAAAGTAAGACTGATCTGTTGGGATATACTTTCTGGCAAAGAGTATCTGTTGTTTAAATATCTCAGAGCATTTTTAATTGTGCCTGTTGTTGGTAATATTACACTGTCCTTTTTACATTTCTGGAAGGAACATCATTTTATGCATTGTATGCTGGAATACTGTAAAATGTAAATCATGTCCTGAATACATAGACATAAACTTACTATCAGTTCTGGTTCTTGCTTGCGTACAAAATATTCTAGCAATTCATAAAGTATTGGTTTATTTGATACCTCGTTTGAATTAACCATTTTGTATGCAGAAACATAACCTATTTGGCCAATAAAAACAGACCAGAGAGAGCAATCAGTCAGAATTTGACATGTCACTAGTGTAACGTCATGAATACTTTTTCACCGTTTATTAAACATATTTATATTGGTTCAAGTAAAAATTATTTAAGTATTCTAGACATATAAATCTGAGTAATTATTAAATAAATCGTATGTATTCTTTGCTGAAAATAATTAAAAATGATAGAACCATATTGGTATAGTGAATCTCCAACAATATAAGTTGGTTAGAAGCACATGTATAACCTCATGCATACATGTGAATTTCAAAATACAAACGTTTTAGCCAGCGATTGTCAACAGGATAGCGTGAACGTTTTATTTTTAATATTCACTCTCTTTGAGTATTTTCAAAATGTCAGACGGTGAAGATGATTTTATGTGTGAGGAGGAGGAAGATTATGGTCTTGTGAGTATTTGTCTGTTTGTGGTAGGAAATATTGCTGTGTTAAGAATCTTTCCATTTAAGGAATAGGTTAGGATTTTTATTTTTGACATATATGAAGCTTAAAAATAATTCTTTTATACGTTTTGAAATGTTTAGATAATAAAAAAATAGCGTAACTGAGATTTCTTTTGATTTTGAGAAGGTTATTGAAGTTGTAGAGTATCTTAACCTTGTTTAGGTTATATGGATGTTCTTTTAGTTTTTCTTTCCTTTAGTACTATGATCAATTATTTTTTACCAGAAACAATGTTGGAGTGATGTTACTTTAACCATAATTTTAGGAATATTCAGAGGACTCAAATTCTGAGCCTGACGTTGATCTAGAAAATCAATATTATAATAGCAAAGCATTAAAAGAAGATGATCCAAAAGCAGCTTTACAGAGTTTTCAGAAAGTTTTGGATTTAGAGGGAGGTGAAAAGGGTGAATGGGGCTTCAAAGCTTTGAAGCAGATGATAAAGATTAATTTTAAATTGGTATGTTCTTACGTTATTATTATGTGGATGTTATATATTTATATTACCATATCTTTGTAGGCAAATTATAAGGAAATGATGGTCAGGTATAAGCAATTATTAACTTATATTAAAAGTGCTGTTACCAGAAACCATTCGGAAAAGTCTATAAACTCCATATTAGATTACATTAGTACATCAAAGAATGTGAGTAATTATGGCTGCTAATTAAATTACCCTAGGAAATAAAGGTTTCTTCCTTACTGAATATTTTGCAGATGGAATTGTTACAAGATTTTTATGAAACTACTTTAGATGCATTGAAAGATGCTAAAAATGATAGGTTATGGTTTAAAACTAACACAAAGTTGGGAAAGTTGTACTTTGATCGATCAGACTTTAATAAATTAGCAAAAATATTAAAACAACTTCACCAAAGTTGCCAGGTAGATTGTGTACACTATTTATATATTAAGTTAAAGTAGTTGGTTTTATTCATTCTAAATGTACATAATATTTATTCAGACTGATGATGGGGAGGATGATTTGAAAAAAGGAACACAACTTTTAGAGATATATGCATTAGAAATACAAATGTACACTGCCCAAAAGAACAATAAGAAATTGAAAACTCTGTATGAACAGAGCTTACACATTAAAAGTGCTATACCACATCCACTAATAATGGGAGTGATTAGAGGTACAGTAGAATAGATTAAGTTATTAGAATTAGAAATTAGAGGTATCTTGATATCTTAAAGTAAAATAGTATTATCTGTGTATAAATAAAAGAATGTGGAGGAAAGATGCACTTAAGAGAGGGTGAATTTGAAAAAGCACACACTGATTTCTTTGAGGCTTTTAAAAATTATGATGAGTCTGGATCACCAAGGAGAACCACATGTTTGAAATATTTAGTTTTAGCAAATATGTAAGTAAAAACTAGATAAGCATAGTAACGTGTAATATAATAGCAACATAAAATACGTTATAATTAAAAAAAACAAAAAAAAAAACAAAAAACAGGTTGATGAAATCTGGTATCAATCCATTTGATTCTCAAGAAGCAAAACCATATAAAAATGACCCGGAAATTTTAGCAATGACCAATCTAGTGGTCAGTTATCAGAATAATGATATTAATCAATTTGAATTAATTTTAAAACAAAATAGGAATAATATAATGGATGATCCTTTTATAAGAGAGCATATTGAAGATTTATTACGCAATATACGTACTCAGGTATGTGCGGTACGCGTAAAATGTTTACAAATTTTCTAAAAGTTTAATACAACGTTCGTATAATTATAGGTCTTGATTAAACTAATAAAACCCTACACTAGAATTTATATTCCATTCATAAGCAAAGAATTAAATATCGATGTATCGGAGGTCGAAAGTCTATTAGTGTCTTGCATCTTGGATAATACGATTCGTGGTCGCATAGATCAGGTAATATAAAGAATTTCGTATCATTATTTAAAGATATTGTACTTTCTCAGGCTTATATACTAGATTACATATCATTAACAGGTGAACCAAGTTCTAGAATTGGATAAAAAATCGGTATGTGCAGCGCGTTACTATGCTCTCGACAAATGGACAAGTCAATTGCATTCATTGCATTTAGCAATAGTTAATAAAATGTCGTAAGGAGTATGGTATGCGTGACTGCAAAATAAAAACAATTTCTAAACATCATATTGTATAGTATATCATAAATGCCTGTCTTCTACTATCTGAAAAAAAAAAATAAAATAAAATCTGTTGTGATATAATAATAAAGTTAGAATTTTAATACGATACGTATATTATACCATTTCATTCCTCTTTAACAAGTTAATTCTAACTTTATAAGGAAATCATTTCTGTGCATTAGTCGAATTCACGGACCGGCAACTCTAAATACATTTAATTGTTAAATTGTATTCGCTTAGTGGAACAATCGACAATTATATCAGTCAAAGGTGTCGATCAGTTCTTGGAACGTTGAACTTCGTTACGTCCAATTAACGAAGTTCTATTCATCTCTCCTAATTTCCATGCAAGTTCGATACATAGAGCAATTGAACACCCTGCAGAAGGATGTGCTTCAACAGAAGGATGACGAAACGTGCCGTCTCAGTGGAATGGCACGGCTGGTTTTAGCTCCGTTTCAAGCATTGTTATTCAGTCTACGTTCGCGCCTATGTAAATGTTGGTTAACCCCAGGCAGGATGGGCGGTAGGGTCCCTAGGCTCGCCCTACATCCTCCCCGTTACGGGATAGTATAATCCTCTCGTTCTCGAACATGTTCATCCTCATCCTCGCCACGTTTAAGGTGGCAGCTTGCAAAGCTACGGGAACTCACTTTGCTAGAAAATCAATTTCCAAAGTAAAATCACTGGCAAATTCGATAAATCCCCCCTTCCTATTTTTCATTTAATATCCATCCATCCTGAATCGTATCTTTTGTTCAAAATTTGAATGATACATTTGGAGTTCCACGACGGTCTTGTACGATAAAAAATAATCGTAATTGGGAATAATTAACACGATCAGTTATTGAATGATGCAGCATCGATTTTAACAGTACACCCTGTTATTATTTAATTAAAGATCTCGCCCTCCGGGAATGCAGCGGTATTTTAAACGAAATGAAATTTTGAAACCTTTCCGGTACAAAGGAGATATCAATTTTGATATCGTAAAATACAGATATTTTTCTATCATTTTTATTCGTCAACGGAGTGATACTATTAGGACCCCTGTGGCTCGGGGGGATTAGAATACGGCCACGGTATCCCCTGCCTGTCGTAAGAGGCGACTAAAAGGGGACACACACGCACCTACACACACACACAGACTCAAGCAAAAAATTGTAAAAGTATGGCAAATGTATGAAACAATGTAAAATGCAAAAGAGAATGAGATTTGAAAAAAGTCGCGCTAAGCGCGTGTGGCCGAAAATGTTCGTTGGGCAAAAGGGGACAGTAAAAGTTCCCAAAGTATGCATATTTGGGATATAGAGGAAATGGGATGTAAAAATGCATCCCTTTTTTCCGAACCGGAGAAAATGAAAGTAAAGTAATACTATTAGGTAGCGAAAGTATATCAGGATGTAAGGAAAACGATAACGAGATTTTCTGGTAGCGGATAGCTTATCAAATTTTCGAACATAGCCAGTTGAAAATCGCGAAATCGTTGATAGAAGTACTGTACCCTAGCTTTCTGTGTATTTTGGCATTAAGCTTCCACGAGTCGTGGTTTCAACTGCAGTCGGCGTGATTAGCGGGCACGCGAGTACACGCGTGAAACGACGTCGACGATAACGACTATGACGACGGTGCAACCCCAACGTTAATTGGCACTTGCAATCAAAGCAGAGCTCGAAATACCCGCTGGTATTCACGCAGCTCCTCTGCAGACTTTGAAATGAAATTTTCCTCAAAATTTCCCCTCGCACGAACAGATAGAAGTATACGAGACGGTACGGTGGATTGAAATTGACCATCGTGTATCCTGCCATAAATTTAGTCATTTTACAAGATGTTCACTTTTGAAAAATTAGAATATAAAGCTACGTTTATATTTTCCAACAAAAAAAATTCAACCTTTAGGTGTCTCGAGTGGATGTATCCTTTTAAGTAAATGGGAAATCATAGATCCGTTTAAGTCGCGATGAAACCCGCTATCTTCTCTGTACCCTCTTTTTCTTCCTCTTTAATTCGAGCATCACGTCCGTTGCAGGTTCATGTTGCAACGTACACGAGGGACATAGTTCTCGTGCAGTTGCAAGTAGATTTTAGCCTTTGAGGAGAGTTAATTTAAGTGAAAACTCCATTTTCAGTGTCTCCTCCGTTAGAGGATGCCCCACGGGGTCTACGTTGCATGTTGCAAAAAGAGAAAAAAAAGAGAAGAGAATTCTTCTACTTTTTTATACCTCTTTGCCATCCGTATAACTACCTGTCGACAAGATAGTTGCCAGAATCTTTTGATATTCCTTTCGTACGGATTTCAAGGATCTTGAAGCAGCTTTTGTGGTCGGATCGATCGTCGAACCGGCAGGATTAATTACGTTAATGAATCGTACGAAGGAACCCGGAAGAGGGACGAGAACTATTATCGAGTAGGTTCGTCGTTGGTCGAATGGGAAACGATTCTTTTGTTTCAACGTCTGTTAAGGAGGAGATAGAAACCTTCATCGAGACTTCATTTGTCTCGTGAAGTAGTTCAAGTTTTAATTGAAAGCCAAACACAAGGGGTGTGAACCGAGGGGAAGAAGGTCCGAGCTATCGTTTACTCTGTTCCTAGGTGGTTATTTTTCAGCCGGTGGTTAAGACCACGCATTAAGGGACGATTCGAGTTAATTTTCACCTCCTCACTTTTTCCCTACCCTTTCGTGACTCGAATGTCACGTTGCGGCGAACAACTTAATGATAGGACATTTTCTCTACAAAGTAATCATCCCTTACAAAGCGATCGTTAAGCAACGATCGCATCACAGTTTGTAAAACAGTTAATTACACGGTGTGTCCAGTATTCGAAGAAAAATTCTTCCTCATCATTTATCCTATCACGAAGATTCTTCCACCCCAGAAGATAAACGAAAGACAAGACACAGGGTAGTTGGCGTTGGATGAACGGGCTAGGAGCTTGTCCCGCGAGTAATTTTTTTTCCACCGGTCCCCCAAGAAACAAACCACGGCAAAGAACGATCGCGAACGAGAATCCGCATGGGGCCATATATCATAGGAACAAGGAATACAACGGTGTTTTTCAGCCAGGCGTCACGACGCTACGCGTCGGCCAAGCGTATAATCTCTCAAGTATTGTTCGCGCCTCGCGTCGATTTATCCGGTTTCGCTAAGGGTGACCCACCAGAACTCGGTATCTGGGAATGGAAAGAGACGAGGAACGAGGAAACACATCTGCCAGTTTTTAGCGGGCTCGCCATATATCATAAGTGTTCAGGGTGAGAGAGGGCTACCGGTTCGACCATCTATCTTCTACAACTTAACTCCCTTTGTACACACCTATCGCGGATACTTTTCTATCCGTTTTTAAGTGTCTCAACTCGTTCGATAAGTTTCTTTCTAATTATTTGTCTCCCTGATTATGAAGTTTCTCATCCGTGATTAGAATTAAACTCGTGAAAAAATCAGGAACCGAGGAGTTTCGGTAACGCGATAGAGAAAGGGTGTCTCGAGAACAGTTTTTCACGGTTTCAACGACAAAGTCGTTTTCCTGGAGGCGCGTAACTTCTCCCGGCTGGCTTTCAGCTAACACTGGCTCGAATTGGACAAGACGAATTGGAAAATTGAATTGATCACCTGGAAAACTTTCTTCGGGAGATCGGGCTCAACCGTGGATAGTCCTTTTAAGAGGATAGTTTCCGTAGTTCCTCTTACCTAGACCTGTTTACGAGTTACCTTGAGTAAAAAGGGTGAAGAATGATAGCTTTCAAATGTTTAGACTCCGTTGTAGAACTAATTCGAAGAATAATTTTATTTCGAATATTAAATTTCTCAGATGGGAACGAAATCTTGATTTACATAGCCTTTTAGGAGAAGTTAGAAATTAATAGACTAATATTTAGTGAAAACAGAAGATAGAGAGAATAGGGAATTGGAATGCATTCGTTTGCTGGATAGACGACCTTTTCCAGGATAGTTTTGACGAGGTTCGTGGACTGGTTCGATCGGGATAGAAGAAGTTTGTTTGCCAACAGGGGACGAGGTGGCACGGAGTTAAACGTATTCCGTATTCGGGATTCCATGAAAATGTACGAGCATCCGGATCAGAAATTTTAATCTGAGCAGAAGGGGTCAGAGGAAAGGTGGGCAGATCGAACGAGCGTGGAATTAATCGGGCCGTGAACGTGTGTAAGCTGGATAAAAGGGCTTCGGCATATTGGTAAATTGAGAAGTTCTCCCTTCGGATCTATGGCGTATCCGCAACATTTACATTTTATGATATTTGTCGAGACCTTCGACCCTTGTTGCCGGCCGTGGTAGACGTTTCTTAAGCCAAACCATCCCTTCGTTCTCACACAAATATTCAGCCTGGAGACGTTTCTCCTTTTCTACCTCCTCGTTTTTTTTCTTTTACCCATCCCCGTTTTGTGTATTATTCGTATGATATATGCGACAGAAAGAAATGGAAAGAGAAAACAAACGCTCATTACTGGGATAAAGGGAGGAACTTTGGTATAGCTTCAAAATCCGCTTTGGAGACGTTTCGCTTCATTTTTCTCGCTTCTTCGGTCAACACCTGCTTAAGACAAATTTTATTTATCGCCTCTACTTGGTAAAGTATTTGTAACGTGTTCTTTTTTGTAGAAATAATCAGAAGTAATGTTTATTCATCATTTTTCTATACGACGATGCGAAATATTTCTTTCCTCTTCAGTTTTTAATTATACATCGTGGTATTAATGAACATACTCTTTTCAGTGATTGAAATTCATAAGCAAAAATAATTTCTACCTATTTCTATCGTGTTTTGATAATTAACGATGAAGAAAAGAGAGGAAATAACGTATCGTTTGCATCGGCGCAATCCTTTTTGTTACTCTTAATTCGCACGACAATTAACAGCGTTACCGATTGAAAAAAGGATGGAGAAAACAAATCTTCTCGGGTGTTTGTATCTCGTTCCTCCTTTTTTTCCCGTTGATTTCAGTAACGGTATTTCAACAACGAGCTCGCGTCCCCATTAATTCCAAAATAATTACGCGCACGCGTTTGCGTACGATACCGTGGCGGTCGTTATTGTTCAACTG